CTTTATTGATTTTATTTTTTGGAATATAAAAGCAATAGATGTTCTTTCGTAAAGAAAAATTAGATGGTGTAGAAAAAAGGGGAAAAATTTTTGAAATCAGCCCAAACCTTACTACTCGGAGATAATCACCATCTACATTTCAGCATTTGGCCTTCTCATCTTTGTTTTAGATTTTTGTGTCCAAATGGGTTGAGGGCAAGACTCCAAGGCAGATGGAGGAAGCTGGGGACTGGGGGGAGGCAGGCCAGGTACCAAGGAAGGGTCTGGTGGACGGGACCTGTGCCATTATTGGTACATGGTCAGAGCAAAACCCACTGCCTTTCCCACATGCCTGGTCAGACCCTGAGAGGCTGCCCTGTGCTTCTTATACCTTATCACCATTGTGCATTCACCTAACCACACCAGCTGGAGCCTTTAGTGAGAACATTTGCAATGATCACCTTTCCTGTTTATTTGGAGCTCTATAACTCAAATGCCAGATAGCCACTATCTCATTTAACCTTCAGAATAACCAAGAGAGTTCCTGTGATTAGCTCTATTTACAGGAAACAGGCTCAGGGAGGCCAAGTGATTTTGTTCAAGGCATACAGAGTTCAGGACAAAAATGCAGGTCTCCCAGCGCTGGCTGAGGCCCTGAGGCCTCTCGTCCTGAGGAGAGTGAAATGTAACAAGAACGACATTCTACGTACCAGACACTGTGGCACGGTGTTGCCTCCTTTAACCATCTCAATGTCCCTGCCGGAAAGGGCTTATTCGGTCCATCCGCACAGATGAGGAAACTGGTCAGAGAGGGGAAGTCACTTGCCTGAGGCCACACAGCCAGTAACCAACCTTTCAGTAGTGGATGGAGGATTTAAAAAGTTTACTGATTTTATTTTTTGAAATATAGAAGTGACTGTGTTTGTTCAGAACTAATGGTAGGTGTGTCTGCCTGTTGGGGTAGTGCTACAAATAGGAGCTAGGGATGGGGCTGGGTGAGAAGAGTGAAGTGTGTGTGTGTGTGTGTGTGTGTGTGTGTGAAAAGCCACCTCTTTGTCCCTCACCTGGGCACCTAGAGTGGGGCTTCTGGACCCTCTAGTTTCAACTACCCTTGTTAGCTCCAGCCCTGACCTCTCTGGTCCCAACCCCGGACCTTAGGGCAAGGGCTTAGGTTTAACAACAGTGCCACCTGGTGGCTGATTTGCTGCCACCAGAGCCTGGGGGTTCATCCTTCCCTGGTAGAGACCGGAGCTAACATGCCTGGTACAGAGGAAGAAAACCAAGGACTTTGGGTTTGACAGACCAAGCTCTGAATTCCAGCTTAGTCTGTGACAGGCAAATTCCTGCACTGTTCCCACATCTGTAAAATGAGGACAAATCACAGTTGCAGCGGTTGTTTTGAGGCTAATACTTGACCCTCTCCCAGGTGCATGGTAGATACTCAACAAACGATACTGTAGGGGACCAAGAAATGATACTTGCCTTTGCTCTACTGTTTCCTCTGATCCCTCCGTCCACCATCTGACTAGGGGCTCCCTCAGATCAGGCTCAGCCCAACTGCTGGGCTTCTCCCAAGTCACCCTTCTCTGATGGGGCTCATGTTCCTGCTTAGACCCTTTGCAGTTGGAAGTGACTGCATTTGGAAAGAGACTCAGGAGGAAGGCAGAGAAAATTCCTGGGGGAATAAGAAAAGCCAAATGTTGGCTTGGTTTGACACACACAAGTGGCGGCTCTCCAAAGGAGCCAAGCCTGCTCCATTCTCATAGGCGAAGGTCATGAAGTCATTGGCCCAGGCCCAGCTTGCCTGCTGCCTCTTATGCTTTGCAATTCTGGCTGGGCACTCCCCCTCTTCATTCACATTCACATCAGCTCCCCTGTCTGTACCCCGCCCCCCCACCTCTGAAAGCATTTCCCAGCATCCTCCTCACCTCCTCTTTCCTCAAGGCTGCATTCTGCAGGGTGCTCTTCAGTCATGCTTCCCACAAAGTGACCCCAAGGACCCCCTAGAACTCCGGATGGCTCCAGTGCCCTAATGACCAAGGGTCCTAATCCCTAATTCTTGAGAGCCCTCTGGCTCTGAAGTGCTTCCCATGACCCTTCATTTTCCCCAAAGATCCCCATAGCTCTCATCCTCATCCTCCAGTGAGCTCAACCCCTTACAACTCCCAAGGACCCCAGCACCCACTGAGGCTCCACATAATTCTACTATAATAGATCCCTAGGACCTCCCCACCTCTCAGATCTCTAGGGGTCCCAATGGTTCCTTCCACCCTCAATGCCTCTCACTGGCCCCAAACATCTCCTTATTCATCTCAGCGAACTCTTGCAACACATGTCTCGGGAACTATGAAGGCTTTCAAAGTTCATTTGTGTCAACAAAGGTGTTTTGAGGCTTTTGAAAACTTTCCCTATGGGGCCTCCGCCCCCGCCAATTGCTCTATAGCCTTGAGTGAGCCAATAACAATGCTGATGGTCATGGTGGCATGTAGTGGCTCCCAAAAGTAAGCTGTGGCAAGTGCATGGCCTTGGAGCCAGAGACCCGTGGGGCTGGTCCGCAGCTCGGCCGGTAGCCCGAGAGTATCAGACTCAGGGTATGAGACTCTGCTTCTCTGAGCCTGTTTCCTCATCGGTAGAATGTGGACACAGCGTGGCTGAGGGCATGGTACCATATGACAGGGCCCAGCATGATTTCCAAGACCCAGTCTTCAATACTTATTTCTCCCCTTTCCTGGGGCTCTCCACGCTGGGGCAAGCTGGGCACTTGTTCATTGAAGCTGCTGCTCCATGGAGCACCTCCTCTCGGCAAAGACCTGCACCAGGTGCCATCCCTGATCAGCATGGCATTACATGATTCTCGTGCTCTATTAAAAGGATTGGGAGGGGCCACCCCAGCCTCCCAGCAGGTAAAGGTGTGTTAGTAGACAGAGGATGGGACACACACACACACACACACACACACACACACACACTTTTATTTCCACCCTTTTCCTCCAAAGTCATTTTTCTGCCTCTACCTTTGCTCAGGCTACTTCCTCATCTCAAGTGTAACACCCTCCCCCACCCGCCACCCCCTTCCCCACCACACACACACTTCCCCAACTGGAGAACTAGAACTCTCCTGGTCCCTCAGGTGCAGCTCAAGTCCCACATCCTTGATTAGGTGGTTGGGTAAGCTCTATGTAGACTCAGCAAACCAGGTCCCACCCAGCTCCTCTGCCTCCAGGTATACCTGATATCTCCTTGGGCAATTTATTTAGTCCTAAACTTTAGTTTCTTTATATGAAAAATAAGATTAATAATACTTACCTCTTAGATTTGCTGTGAGGCTCCTATGAGGTAATGCACACATGATACCTGGAACATAGTAGGTATTCAATAAAGTTTAAAAATATATTTTAAAATGTTCTTATTGATTTTAGAGAGAGAGGAAGGGAGGGGGAGAGAGAAAAATATCAATGATGAGGATTACTGATTGGTTGCCTCCTGCATGCTCAGGTTATAGACTCCTTCCCAGTGGGGAAGGAGTCTCTAACCTGAGCATGTGCCCTGAACAGGAATTGAACCATGACCTCCTGGTTCATAAGGCCATGCTCAATCACTGAGACATACTGGCTGGGCCAATAAACAGTTCTTATTGTTACCCCTGGCATCCCCTGAGCTCTGGGTTCCTGCTTATAGTTTCTTATGGGGGTGGTTTGACACTTCAGCTAGCCTGGAAGTTCTGAGAGCAGTGCATGCATTACCTTTCCAAGTATGCTCCACAAAGTGGGCCTTGTTCAAGAGAGACAGAGAAGGCCAGGACTGGCAACCAAGACTGACTTTGCTCCCTTGTGGGTAATGAGGTGTCCAGGCCAAGGGCTTATTTGATTTTCAACTGCATGAGACGGAGCAGGGGGCAGAGGACTTCCAGGGGGATCCTGAACCAGCTATGTTCCCTATCTGGGTCTCATTTTCTTGCCATTCTACCTATGACTAACCCGAGGCCAGAGAAGGGGGTAAACTTGTACTGTGCCACACTATAGAGCTCAAAAACTGAGGCTGGCAAGGGCAGAGTCTAGAGCCAAATCTAGGCTGCATGCTCCAAATCCTCACCTTGTTCTCCCCCACCGTGCCTGCCTCCCACGTGTAGGTCTGCCTATGAGGACAGGTGCATAAGCTTTGTGGCAGCTATTACTGTTGCTATTGTGAAGGGGCTTTGCAGCACAAGACACAGTAAGGCATAGTGATTAAGACTGGGTTTTGAGGTCAGACAGACCTGACTTCTCTTTCTGGTCCTGCTGTTTACTAGCTGTGTGACTCTGGACAAGGCTTAACATCTCTGTGCCTCAATTACCCATATCTGTAATGTGGGAAAAATCTATATATACAAAAGCCTAAGCAACCTTTATGCCAGAGTGACCAGAAAACTGGAATGACTGGAACAATTGGAATGACCAGTAACCAGTCGCTATGATGCGCACTGACCACCAGGGGGCACTCAATGCAGGAGCTGCTCCCTGGTGGTCAGTACACTCCCACAGCCAGCCAACCTCTCCCATTTGGCAAACCTTCCACGGTCCATCCCCTGTCCAGCAGGCCCCATCCGGCAGCTGGCAGGCCCCCAGGCCCCAGCCCGCAGTCCCCAGGCCCTGGCTGGCAGCTGTCAGGTCCTGGCCAGCCCAGCCCTGATTGGAATTGGGCAAGCCAGTCCCAATAGGCCCCAATTGCTGGCCAGGCCTAGGGACCCCATCCATGCAGGAATTTCATGCACCAGCCTTCTAGTAGTAAATAAACAGAGTGGGGGAAGTGCCTCCTTATGGGGTTGTTGTAAGGATTAAACAGATAGTCTATAAAGCACTTAGCACACAGTGGAAATTCAATGCACGGCAAACACGTGGAAGGAAGTGTGATCTGAAACACCCCCGTTTCCAGTTTAGAGTCCTGAGTTGAGACTGCAACCTCCAAATATGGAACCAAGACACTTTTGCAGGAATAGCATGGAGGCAATAAACGGGAAGAAAATCCAGTGAGTATCACTTTGCTTATAGTTTGTTCATTCCTTTAATTTTTAAAAATGAGTAAGCAGACAACTGTGTGCCCTTTGAATACCCGATAAAAATGTCCATTATGCAAAACAGTACAACCTTTTTCATTTTTAATAATACTGTAAATATCTCAGAAAGGATGTATTGTTTCTAATGAATATCAAAAAAGTCTTCACAATGATGTTTCCCTCGCCCCCACATTTCCCCCCCCCCACAAAGTTACCCAAATACTAGTAGGAAATTACAAAAACAAGAACACAGGCCCTCCCTCTGCCCTGCCCGGTTAGTAGTGTTAAGTGGGTGACATGTAAGTGGTGATGTATGTACAGTGCAGTGCGTGCCAGAAGGCTGCGTCCGTGGGACCGTGGGCGGAGAACCATAGCAGCAGCAGCAGCGGGGAGACGCCCTCCCCAGGGCCTGTTGGGAGAAGAGCAGACAACAGCGGACACGACGAGCAGGGGGCCCAGCTGAGCCCTGATCTTCCTGGGTACATTTCCTGGGTCCACTAGACCAAAGAGCTCAAGGAGGGGCCAGGCAGGCCTGGCTGTGTGTGCAAAAGGGGAACCAGAACCAGGTGCCCCATTGCCTGGGCAGCACTGGACATCCCTCTCAGCAAACGTGGGCTCAAACGGGGGCAGTGCCCAGAGCAGAGAAGCTGGGAGCTTGGGGACTTTTGGATGAGTCAAATGCACAGCTTCGTTACAGGAAGCGTATGCCTCGGTGTGGACAAAGCTTGCATTTCCACCAAATGAACTTTGGAACCTAAAGGAAAAGAATAAAGAATGCACCTTCTACCCTAGTGGTTTTGCTCAGTGGTCAGAGTGTCTGCCCACGGACTGCAGGGCTGTGGGTTTGATTCCTGGTCAAGGGCACCTACCTCAGTTACAGGTTCAATCCCTGGCCCAGGTTGGGCACATGCAGGAGAAAACCAGTCAATCAATTTATCTCTCTCACAGGGATGTCTCTCTCCTCTCTCTCCTCTCTCTCTCTCTCTCTCTCTCTCTCTCTCTCTCTCTCTCTCTCTCTCTCTCTCTCTCTCTCTCTCCTTTCCTCTCTCTCTAAAGATCAATGGAAAAAATATCCTTAGGTAAGGATTTAAAAAAAAAAAAAAGAAGAATGCACTTCCCCTTTTCCCTTTTCCTCAAATAACTCAGAATCCAAGGTAGAGGCTTGATGTAAAATCCAATTAAAGAAAAAAAGAGAGCGACCATCCAGAGAGCTAGGGAAGGAGCCAGTCTGCCCCCAGAGCCCAGGCTGCCCTTAGTAAGCACTCAGGCTTCTCCGCACCCTGGAGAGGCCGGAGGAAGGCTCCCCTGAGAAGGGCGGGGAAGAAGCTTCCTCAAGGTTCCAAGGTTCTGCTGGTGACAGGAGGGAGCAGGAGGGAACTGAGGTATCAGGATGGCAGAGGAGAGAGGAGGCCTGCCTGGGACAGCCAGAGGGAGAAGCTGTGGCAGGGGCATGGGGAAGGGACTGGAGGATGAAACCAGCTCCAGGCCCCCCATAGCTCCTTCTCCTGAGAGGCTGGGGGGATGTCCGACAATGCAGGTCCTTCCTGGCTGGGACATTGGCCAGATGTGCAGCTGCAAGGAGAATGGAGGCTGCTTCCTAAGCCTGAAAACCAGCGCCCAGGCAACCCCAGCGAGCGCCTCTGAGGATGGAGGGGCAGCGCTGAGGGTGAGAGCAGGCAGAGCAGGATGAGTTCCACATGGGTCAGAACACGGCTGGTCTCCAGAACACGGACCACTCACAGATGAAATCCAACTAGAGTTTTGGGGAAAACACATACCACCACCACCACTACCACCACCACACTGTTTCCATGATAAACTTGATTTACAATAAGCAGGTGGAGGGTGAATACAAGGATGACTACCTGAGAGTCTTCAGGAGAATCCAACATGAATGGCAGATCTGCAAGCCAGCAGGCATGCAGCAAGAATCCCCAAGAAATGCTGCCAGGCCGGGAAGAACCTCGAGATCACCTGACCCAGCCCTCCCTTTCAGGAGACAGGGAGACAGGCCCAGGGAGCAGAAGGGAGTGCCCAAGTCACCTAGGAGGATCAGGGGAGATGTGCACCTGCACTCCAGGCGTCCGTCCCGAGTCTGGTGGGCCTTTTTCTCCTCTGACACAGCCTTGCTGTCTGCAAACCCAAAGAGGTTGGGGATGGGGAAGGGAGGGTTTGAAGGAAAAATCCCCCACTCCTGGAGGTGGCGAGGAGGGGGGTGGCAAAGATCAGGGACGAACATGGGGCGTGGACTGGCTGGTTAGAAGGCTGACGGAGTTGGACAGGCATCGCTCCCACCCCACCTGCCCACAGCCTGAGTATAAAAATTTGACCATATGATACATTTCTTCTTAACCCCTAGAAAACACTGGTTAAAATTGTCCTAGCACAAGATTCTGCTAGTCCCTGTACAGTATTAACTCTTTGTCACGTTACTTACATGATAATTAGGGGCGAGGAGGGGGATGTGACTTTAAAACAGTATACACACAACCACCTTAAAATTAACTTGTTAATAAGTCCTGTGCAAAACGAGCAAGCCTCTATCATTAGGTGAAGTACGTTTTCAGGTATTCTCTTATACACCCGGGGAAGGAGACGGAAGCAGAGGCATCCGAGGTGGCAGGCGGACACTCAGAAGTGCGTCTCCTTCTCTGTGATGGCTGCAATGGTCCCATCGCCCTTGAGTTTGGCGTCACAGTCATTAACCATCACCGTCCGTGGGCCTGCCCCAAGCTTGCCTCTCATTTTCAGGTCAGCACTGGGGATCACCAACTTCCGGAATTTCTAGGTGGTTGGAGTGGAGGAGAAGAGCTGTGTGAGAGTGGCTGCCAGGGTCCTGGGGCCCGCCTTGGCCTCTCCCAGCCTCAGAGTGAACCCGGGGTAGGGGCCAGGGAGGTTGGAGTCATCAGATTGAGGTCCAGGCCTCAATTCTGCCACTTAGAGCTCCTTCCTGGATGGTGAATTGAGTTCCCTGGGTCTCAGTATCCACTTCTGAAAAATGGGACAATGGAGATACCCACTCCTGGCATTTGGTGAGGAGGAAGGGGTGCTGAAGTATACTGTAGGTGACTCGGATGAGAGAGCTAAGACAGGAGTTAAGGGCGTGGGCTTGGGAACCAGGCACCTGGGTTTGAACCCCAGAAATACCATTTACCTGGGGCACAAAACAACCTCTCTGTGCTCAGTTTCCTCATATGTCTAAGGGGGATACTACCGGCCTATGCCTTCTGGGATTATCCCAAGGCTCAGATTAGTTGGTTTAGCCACACATTAGCACAGGATATCTACTAGATTCACTACAATTTTCTGAGGTAAGGACTGTTGACCCCAATCTTCCTTCCAGATCCTTCCTGCCAGTTGGCAGAGCCTTCTGGGAATGGAGGGGGTAGATGAACTGACACAAGTTCTCCCAGTAGGAAAGGGCTGAAAACCTCTGAAGATTTCTGTCTTTCACAAGCCCCATCTCTGTGCAGCAGATCCGGGAGCTTAGGGAGACAGAGGGAGCTCAGCAAGTAGTCGCTCCCTCCTCCCTCCCTCCCCTCCAAGCCAGGCCTGAGAAAATCGGGACTCTTCAGGGGACACTGGCATTTCTAAATACCCAAAGGCCTCTGGGAAGCTGGGTGGGGCCTGTGGTGGCTGAGGTGTTAGGGCTGCAGGCCCACTCTCCAATGGCCGTGTTTGGTCCCAAATCAGAATTGACCAACTGCCCTTGACCCACATTTCCTGCAGGCGCCCAGGGGCCTGACTCGCTCTGGGAGCACAAGCAGGCTTGCTCCTTTGGGCTGGATGCATAGCTTTTTCTGGAGCCCAGGCCCCTTGGTGAGCAAGCAGGCTAAGTGAAGCCGATTCTGAATATGCAATCACATTCGGGTGTTTGCACATACCTCCCCCAAACCCCTATCTCCCCTGACCTTGTCCTGGGAGACTAAGGTCAACTCCTGAGATCCCTGGCGTGATAGGGCCCACAATTAAGTGCAGCCAGCTGAACACAGGAATGAGCCCATAAAAATCAGGGGATGAGAGCCCAGACTTCCCAGCCTCTGCTTCACCACTTAGAGGCTGAGTGCCCTTGGGCTAGTTGCTTCACTTCTCTGTGCTTCAGCTTCCTCATCTGTGAAATGGGGACAATAAGAGCTTGCACCTCACAGGATTGCTATGAAGATTAAATGGCTTGGTGCTTGTAAATGGCTTAGAACAGTGTCTGGCACACTGCAGTTTGCCAACTGAGCGAGAAACTGATTCAAACCATCTGATCCGCCAGCAGGTGGGAAATGAGAGTAAACAGAGAGCGAGTGTTCAGGAAATAAGATGGTGTGGGTTATAATTCACTCTGCCACCAAGAGACCAAATTCTGCACCATTCCACTGAGAGGAAGTGTGCAGAACAGACAAATCCATGGAGACATGTGGTTGTCTGGGAGTGGGAACAGGGTTAACTGTGAATGGGCTGGTGGTATCTTATTGTAAAACTGATTTAAGGTGATAAATGCACTATGCTAAAAGTCACTAAAAAATCATTGAATGGTACACCCTAATGCATGAATTTTATCATATTTAAACATTGTTTGGCAATTTTTGGTTTCCTCTATAGAAAATAGAATGGAGTTTCCTCAAAAAATTAAAAGTAGAACTACTATATGATCCAAAAATTCCACTTCTGGGTATTTATATGAAGAAAAGAAAAATACTAGCTTGGAAAGATACATGTACTCCACGTTCATTACAGCATTACTTACAAAAGCTAAGATATGGGAGTAACCTAAGTGTACATCAATGAACAAATGGATAAAGAAAATGTCACACACACACACACACACACACACACACACGGGAATATATTCAGCCATAAAAAAGGAAATCTTGCTATTTGTGACAACATGGATGGAACTTGAGGACATTATGCTAAGTGCAATAAGTCAGAGAAAGCTAAATACCATATGATTTAATTTATATGTGGAATCTAAAAATACAAAACAAACAACTGAGTTCACAAATATAGAGAACAGATTAGCGGGTGGGCAAAATGGGTAAAGAAGGTCAGAGGATACAAACTTTCAATTATAAAATAAGTAAGTCTTGGGGATGTCATGTACATGGTGACTATAGTTAATTAATACTATGTTTGCATATGTGAAAGTTGGTAAGAAAGTAGATCTTAAAAGTTCTCATCACAAGAAGAAAACTATCGATGTGTGTGATGGATGTTAGACTTATTGTGATCATTTCACTATCTATATATTGAACCATTATGTTGTACACCTGAATCAAATATAATGTATACCAACTACATCTCAATAAAAAATTTGATTTGCTATTTTTTGGCTGTGTGACACTAATTTTTGGTTGAGTGACAATTTCTCTGAGCTTCAGTATCTCTACCTATTGAATGAGAAAATGATGCCAGCACTCTGATTTGCTCTGTGGGCTAAAGGAGAGAACCTGGCAGGGTGATGACATGGGACAGGTAGCAGTCTCCAAATATTAGATCCTCTTCCCCTGCCCTGGGAATGGGGTCCTTAAGGCATTAACGAAACAGCAAGCGCTAACCCGGACATTCTCTGTTCCAGATCCTGGTCTAAGTGCTTTCCCTATATGAACTCACTGAGTCCTCACAAAAACCTTTGTAAGTTTGGGACTACTACTGTCCCCATTTTACAGATGAGGAAACTGAGGCTGAGCTCAGAGCAGCAGGCTCAACCCCGCTTCTGCATAGTGGCCATGATGAACACCTATCAAGGAGCATCTGACTTTCCTGAGAGACAAATGGGAGGCTGTTCTCATCCCACCCATTGCCCAGATGAGGAAACTGAGACTCAGAGAGGTGCCCACGGACTTAACCCTGCTCACAGCCTCTTCAAGGCAGATCCAAGCCCTATCCTATAACCTCAGGCCTCTTGCTGACTCTTTCTTCCTCCCATCTCACCTCGAGCAGCGTCCCCTCTGTCTTCCACAGCTTGATGACGATCCAGATGGGGATACAGAGCATGGAGGACAGCGCCATGAGCCAGCCTATGCCATAGCCCCAGGCGGGGTAGGTGTAGACATTGTTATACTTGAGGGGCTTGTACTTGATCAGGAAGAAAATGAAGATGCTCTGCGGAGAGATGGGTAGAGGTCCCTGGGGCCAGTGTGCAGGAGGCCAGGAGTGGAGAGGATCTACACCATGTGACAGCCTTGGAGAGGCAAGCTCTGCCCTGGTCCACAGGGAATTTGAGGCCCATCCCACCGGCATAAGACCCCCCCCCTCCCCCCACAGAACCCAGGACCTCGCTGGGGCTGTGGAACTCTTCCACCCCCCAGGAGCCAAGGGATTTTTATTTTTCCTAGCTATTTCTTGGGACTGGTTTCAAAGTTGCCTTTCAGAACTATAACGGTTGTTGAAGATGCTTTGAGATACTTCTGGTACCAAGAACTGGGTGAAGAGCAATGGGTTGTTCCTTATTCAACATCAGGTCATGAAGGCCTCTGACTCCACGGTCTGGTCAGAGGGCAGACGGTGAGCCCCAACTCTACGCTCAGTTGTGCTGCTTTCACAGTTAACAAAGCCACAGGTCTCTCACAGAGGCAGGTCACAGCCAAGTATACACCCTGTGGCTCTGAGAAGGGGGTGACTTGCTTAGAGTCCAGCAAGCTGGTGGCAGAGCACAGACCTCAGGGAGACCCCTCCCTCGCCAAGCCCAGGTGCTCCAGCCTTTCTCAGTGCACAGAGGGTTGCCCAGGTGATGTCACCTCCTCAGTTCTAGCTCAGCCAGGTCTGGAGTGGAAAAGAGTGGGTGTGTAGACACTTACTGCACAGATCCCGGGGGTCACGACCTTCCAGCACCATTTAATGAGTGACAACGGCCGGTAGCCAATCATGTCTTCGATGTTATCATAGAAGCGGTTGCTTCCTGTCCAGAATAAAACAACCCGAGAATTTATTTATATGAGACTCAGAGGGAAGGCTGGAAGGGTTTGCTTTCCCTAGAAGGACACAGGCAAATCATGGCAGGGACCTGATTCATTACTGCTTAAAACTACCAAGACATTATACCTACGTGAGGTTTCGGGACGGACTACAGAAGGAGGGATTCTGGTCTGCTATTGGAAGGATACCCCCTGACTGTGAAGCCCAGGAAACAATGAGGAGTATATGGGAGAGAGGTGGAAAGTGGTCTCTGGAGAAGCAGGTGAGGTGCTGGCTGACTTGCATGGAAGTCAGGGCCTGCTGGGCTGCTAAGGAGCAGAGTGGCTGCAAGGGCCAAGTTCACAGTAGGAATATCCATGATCATGAAATGGCCAACTCATTCCAGGAACAGGAGGACCAGAAGGCAGGTATTTACTGAGGGCCAGGCAATGTGCTGCCTGCTTTGCCTACATTATCTCCTACTTGGAGACACAATGATGATGATGACCACGTTTTGCAGATGGAAAAACCGAGTCTCGGAGGCAAAAGGATTGGCCCAAGGTTATAGTCCCTAAACCCGAAACCCCTCTCTGTGTTGTAGGGGTATAGAAGCAGGAATGTACCCTGACAAGTGGGAAGGGCCAAGGAGTCTCTGAGGGGAAGGAGGATGAGGTTGACATTAATGGAGATGGGCAATAGAGAACATCCCTGCTGTGGGCGCCTGTGTCCTGGGCACTGATGACACTGCAGTGTGGGTGGGCGTGGCTGTGACTCACCGTACACCCAGCCGATGCAGACACACTCAAAGATGGCCACAAAGAGGAGGCACATCCCACTGGCGGCATAGGAGTCAAAGAGCTGGAAGATGTACATGCCACCCTATGGGGTGAAAGGACAGACACATAGACAGAGACATGAACAGACACATGAAGGAGCAGGATCAGCCAGCTGGCACTGGGAAGGGCTCTCTGCTCTGCCTTGTGCCTACCATCAGCCAGGGGTCACCTCCACCAGGGCAGACTGCTTCCCCCTGATCCCTAGAACATGCGCCCTTTCCACCTGGGAACCCCCAGACACCATCCTCTGGGAACTGTTGGGATCATAATGATGTTTATTGTCTTTGCTCCCCAATGCTGGGAACAACACAGGAAATCAGAGATGGAGGTTGGGCAGCCTTAGCACCTCTCCCTAATGGCGCTAACAGTCTCCCTGCCTCCTCCCCTCTCCAAACCTTCTGTGCACCAGCTTTCACAGGGACCTTTCTAATATGCAAATCCAACCAGGCCATGCCACAATTTAATTGCCTGTTGGCTTCCTTAAGCCTGCCAATCAGGACCGCCTTCTTCATCTGGCCTCACCACCCCTTACCACCAGCCACCCTCACCATGCTCCCTCCTGGACAGACGGAGGCACAGTCTCACTGCTCTGCCTTTGAACATGCTACTCCCTTTCACTTGTAAGTTCCTTCAAAGCTCAGCTCAAATGCTACCTGCTCCAAGAAGCCCTCCCCGACAGCTTCATTATTCTTTGGGCTTCCACAGCATGTTTTTATGAACTTGGAATTTAAAAAAGTATTGCCCTTTCAGTTGGTGCTGAGCTCTGGCTTGAAAGGCACATCAGTCCTCTTTATGGTCCTCATTACAGAGCCTGGCTCACAGCAGGTCCCCAGTAAGTGCAAACTGAATTGTGTGGAGTGAGAGACCATGGAGGAGGCGCTCTGACGGGCTTGTCTAAACTGTGTCCCCATTTTGGCCCAGGATTGGCACATGGAGGTGTGCAGTCAATTTTTATAGGAATGACCTAGACCAGTTCTGTAATATACAAGTCTGCGATGATTAAGTTCAGTGGGAGGCCCAGGAAGGTACACACTCAGCTGGCCTATTACAGGGCAGGCAGTGTTAATATCCCCAGTGGTCACGTGGAAAAACGGAGCCACAGAGCAGTAAGAACACTTGCTGAACATCGTCCAGCTAGCCAGTCATGGGGCTGAGGAGTGAACCCAGGTGACCATGAGCTTCACCACCCATTATACTGCTTAGGTGGAACATAAGACATTTGTGGCCTATTTTTCCCCCTAGAGCTGAGCTTTAAATGTCTATAAATGAGGGAGAAGCTCTCTTGCCAGCAATTACTGTGAAGGCCAAGGCTGACACGGCCCATTTGGCAATTTGAACTTCCCCTGTGTGATTGCACAGATATTCCTCTGTGGAGGCAAGAGATCAACATTTGAAGTCATGGTCTCGGGCAGCCAAGTGTTGGCTCTCTGAAGGGCCCTGGGGGCTGCAAGGTACCCTTGGGCAGACCGAGGCTTCAGGTGGAGGGAGGACACGAAGCCTCTGAGAGCTGGTGGGCCCAGGGCCAGAGGCCCACAAGGACCTTGCACTGCCTGCGCTAAGCCAGTGCTGCCCATGCCAATGCCTGCTTTTGCAGTCTTGTCCTCATCAGCCTCTTTAACTCATCAGGTTAACCCCCAATTTGTGTGTGACAAAAGACTCGACTCTGCATAATTAATCAGCACTTAATGAGGCCCTGCTCACAGCAGCCCTGGTTTCTCTGCCTGGAGAGAAGTGAGATGGCAAGAAGAAGTGCCACACCATTCATTTGCTCAAACACTGATTATCAGTCCCCTTAATGTGACAATGACTAGGAGCAGTAATAGTACCAGCCACCTCACAGCAAGCGCCCACTCCAGCGGGCCCTGGAGGAACAGAGCCAAAAGAGGTCTCTCTGTGGACCTCAGGGTCTGCTGGGGGCAACAGGTGAACAGATGGATCATTGTTACAGTGGGAGGGGGCTGGGCTGAGCCTGGGGAAAAGTGCTGTGGGGAAGGAAAGCAGAGGGGGCTTCTAGGAGGCAGCAGCATTTGGCTGAGGTAGAAGATGAGGAAGTTCAATGGGCTGACCTCGGTATTAAAGCAGCTACTTGGACTGATTCTGATGTTTTCTTTTTCCCCCATGTTTCTTATAAACCTCTTCTAGTCTCTAAGCAACAGGCTCTCTTTCTCTCTCTCTCTCTCTATTTTTTTTTCTTTTGAAATTTATGTTTTTAGTGTAGGGAGAAAGATACCTAATGTCATACTTGAGAAAGTATTTGTGAGGCAGGATGGCCGCAGGAGGGGGAGAGAAACATGATTTTATGGAGCCGTCTTCATTTGGGGGTAACGATGAACCCCTCCTCACCCACAGGCCCACTGGAGACAAGAAGACGGGTGCACAGGAGGGCTGAAGCCACAACATTGTGCCTGAAAGTGCCAAACACCATCACATATGTCAGCGATGCTCCAGAATAGCCTGCTTTGAACTTTAGCCCAATAACAGCGACTAACTGAAGTTACAAGTGACTGTTAGGGGTGGCCCATGCATCAATCCCAGCATTCCCTCTGTGAGCTTTATTCCTCTCTGGTCACGACAGCAGTGACCTTTAGCTGAGCATTTACACGGCAAGGCATTGTGCTGCGACTCACTGAGAACTTTCGTGCGGTTCTCACAGCACCCCACTGGAAAGATGTCACAGAGAAGGAACTAGACCTGGCTGGGCCACACAGCTCCTCCATTCCAGACTGGGATAGGACATCAGACCTGCCCGACCCAAAGCCCAAGCACGTCACCCTTGTGCGTGTCCTCCGTTAACACTCACCTCCGTTAACATCACGAGGCCCAGAAAATAGGAGATGACCGACAGGGCCAGGATGAGCAGCTCCCGCCGGTAGCCCCTCCGGAAGACCTTCGGGTACATGTCCACCACGGCGGTCACAAGGCTTTCTACACACACAAACTGGACGGGGAAGACACAATGGTGTGAAGCCCAAGGAAAGGGGATTTCAGTGGCCCTGCCCATGGCGATCTCAGCAAGCCTGACCCCGGGCTTCCTCCCCAGGGGCTTACCTTTATTCTCACTCACAGGCACGGAGAGCCCGGGAATAACAGCAACAATCCCAGCACTCAGGGCAGGACTCTGAGGCTCAGAGAGGGGAAGTAACCTACCCAAGGTCACTCAGCAAGGAAGTGGCAGAGTCAGGCCCTGAACTGCGGTTTCTCAACTCCAGTACTCCTTCTCCCCCATGCTGCCTGCCAACGGCCTAGTGCTGGGCCCTGTCCTGGGGTCAGTGACTTAAATGAGACCCAGCCCCTGTTTGGGAGGAAGACAGGAGTCCTGAAAGCTGAGTGCTCTGTGGGCAGCAGGTTCTGGTCATTCTCTCCGGGGAGGCAGCACGTGACTTACTCATTCTCCAGGACTGGGATAGTTCCCCATCCTTTGCTTCTGGGTGGAGGCAATCAAAGCTAAAGCAGCCCAAGTCCCTGTATTGCCCTGGCATGAGCCTGGGTTTGGGGATGGCGGGGGAGTGAGCAGACCATTTCTTGGTCCCAAATCCTTTATGATTCATTTTACCTCCTCAGGAAGGGTATCTGCATCCTCATTGTGCAAAGGGACTATAGCACAGAGAGGGGAAGTGATTAGCCCAGCGTTGCACAGTGGGCAAGAGGTATGGGGCAGGGACCCAATCTCAGCCCAGACTCCAAAGCCCAGGCTCTACAACAAGGCTAGCTGTGCTCATCCAGGACTGAACCTAGAGAGACATCACAGCAGGTTTGCTAACAGGATCTGGGTGCATGTGCTTGTCAGCTACTTGGCATCTCTGAACCTGTTTCTTCATCTGCAAACAAGAATCACAAAAGGAGCCCCCAGCCTGTGTGGTTATTGTGACAAAGAGCTGAGGACACAGCCCAGGCACAAAGCGAGTATAGCTGTGGGGGTGAGCAGTGAGGCCATCTGCCCTCCATGCCAAACCCCTCATCCCCTGGCAAACACAGTATCTCAGCCCAATTGCTGGCCCAGCTCAGCCCAGGGACTCACAGAGCCAAGGCCCCTCCCCCACTTCTCTGTGCCCAGGAGGGCCTGTCACTGACTCACAGAAGCTGAGAACCCCTCTGAGGCCTCCACCACAACAATGGAAGGGAAGATTAGGAACGACAATGGAGAGAAGATTATCAGCAGAAACACCCGGTGGCTTAGCAGTTTCCGAGGAACCATCCAGGGGAAGAAATTGGACTTGGATGGGTTGACAGACACATCGGCCATGGGGCTTGGTGCAGAGTGCCTTGCACAAGGTCATGGTGATGCGCAAGGCCTTGCCAATAGACCCCAGTCTGAGAGAAGAGCCAGGCGTTGGCTGGAGGACATTCTCTGGGGCACTTAGGGGAACCAGCTGCGGTGGAGCAGCAGGGCAAAGGGCAGACTTCTGGGACTGAAGAGCCACTGAAGGCTACAGGATTCTGGCTGAAAAACCAGGGAGAGGATTGGGAGGACAGGCTGGGGGAGTGTTACAGTGTGTGAGGAGGTAAGTGCATGCATTTGTGTGAGATAAATGACAAACTGCTAGTCTTAACTGTACACTTTTCACTGAGGAAGGAAGATTGCCAAGTGGAGGGCGGGTCGAGACAACCCTATAGGAACTGACAACAGAGGCACGGAGGCGAGATGTGGAGGGTGGGGAGCTGGTGGTGGCACTGAGGACCAGAAGGCTGCCTAGGTGATGTCATGGTGGCCTCAATACAGAGATGGGGGAGGAGAGGAGATGCTTTCCTATGTCCCTGGTTGGGACAGAGACAAGCTAGTCGGGTAAGGATATCTCTAACCACTGTCCACTTCCTGAGCATGTCTTCTGCTTTGCAAGGTGGTACCATTGGGAACAGGTATTTGCCAGAATGGGAGTATTTAACAGTGTTTTAAAAACTTGAACCGGGCGTTGGGAATTCCAGGTAAGGAAAAGAATGTTTGGGAGACTTGGAGGGACCTGAGTAACTATGTTTGGGGGTGACTGTGGGGACCACCTGGGGAATGGAGGGTGTTTTGGCAGGAAAGCAGGGTGGGGACAGAAGGCAGGGCCCTGATGACCAGGACCAGGACCAGGAGATGGTGACTTGGCCCAAGAGCCTCCCTGCCCTCCCGGCCTGGGCTGCCCCTTCCTCCAGCACCTTACCTGGCTGTCCAGACCAAGGAAGATGAGCATCATGAAGAACAAGGTGGCCCACAGTGGGGAGAGAGGCATCATGGTGACAGCCTTGGGGTAGGCGATAAAGGCCAGGCCAGGGCCTGGAGAGGAAGCAGAGAGAGTGGTGCTGGATGGAGTCCAGTCCCACATTCATGGTTATCCTAATCCATCAAGTACTGATGCTTCCTTTGTGCCAGATGCTGTGCTAACTCTCACTCAAGTCACTTAAATCTCCCAGCCACCCCATGGTTGGTACTCTTATGATGTCGTGTTGCAGATGAGCTAGCAGAGGCATAGAGAGGGAAGCCAGGGTTTGTGAGGGTCAGGATTCAAACCCAGGTTGGTCTAACGCACAGACCTTCCTCTGAACAGACCTGTCTCTACTATTATCATCAGGGCGAGAAGTGTTCTTATTAAAATGCAGGCTCTCAGGCCCAACCTAGATATTCTGATTTGGTACCACCACCCCAGGATTACACTCAACCAACTGAGCCACAGCAGTCAGGGCCCATCAGACATTCTTGCACGTGAAAAACCATTTTAGACTTATCTGAGATTAGAGTCTAACTCTGTCGTGTAAACACAAATGATTTTTTGTACTTTTAAATATATATTGAATTTTTCCATAATTCAAACATCACGTAAATCAAGGGAAGAATTATTCACCATTTTGCACACCTTAGTAGCAATAACCCTGCCTATAGTGTGTTGGATACAAACACACAGCAATCACTACTTAAGAATGTCATACTCATGATGAATCTGCATCTAGAAAAGGAAAGGGAGAGGGAGGCTCTTTGAGCAGTAGGAACAGCATGTGCAAAGGCTCTGGGGCAGGAGGAAGTGAGCCATGTCCCAAAGTGAAAGCAGGCTTCTGAGGTGGGGCAGAGTGAGCATGGGGGAACGAAGCAGGTGGTGAGGGTGATGAGGCCACAGGAGCTGGGCAATGCAGGAGCATGGGGCTAAGGGTTTAGCACTCTGAGGAGCCAACAAAGGCTTTATATTAGAGAAGGACAGGATCAGATTGACCCTGTGGAAAATATTACTCTGCAGGGTAGCGTGTGGAACAGAGCAGTCATAGTGGAGGCAAGGCGGCCAGTGTAAGTTCCTGCAGTCATCCAGGTGAGTGGTAATGGTGGTCTGGGCTGGTGGGGACAGTGGAGTTGGGGAAAAGTGGAGGAAGAGGAGCAGCGTTGAGGAGGCAGAATCTACACAATGAATGAGGTTGTCATAATGAATGGGGGCATGACTAGCATGAAGTAGATGAAGGCTAGAGAGGGTAAGCTCCCTGTGCTGCTCTGGACAAATGTCCCACCAGAGATTATCATTTTTTAATGTTTTTATTAATTTTAGAGAGAGAAGAAGAAAGAGGGAGAGATGCTTGGATTCTGGAGTTGAGGAGGTGTCAACGTTTCTCTCTCAGGATCCTATTTGAGGACAGATGTGGAACAACTCCCGAGACCTGACCCAAGAGAATGTGCAGAGGAGAAAGACAATATTTTCAGTGTAACCATCACCCAACACCTCACCAACCTCTGGCACTTACCTGACTCTGCCACTTCGGCAATAGGTACCCCCTGCTCATATGCCATGAAGCCCAGGACAGAGAAGATGGCAAAGCCGGCCACGAAACTGGTTCCACTGTTCAGACAACAGAGCATGATGCAGTCCCTGTGGGGAAGCAGTGAGAGGCGCTCAGGTCAGAGGGGGTGGCACAGGCTGGAACATTCTGCCTGAGCACTTGTGTGTGGGCAGGGCAGTGAGTGCACAGAGAGCACCCTCTGCCTGATGAAGCCCTGGTGGTTCAGAGGGGTTAGGTGGCTGGCCCATTGTCACACATGGGCTGCACTTCTAGATGATAAGTAGGTCACAGATCAGAACATGGAGAGGAAGTGGGCAGGTAGGCAGCAGGGAAATGGCAAATGGAAAAATGCACAACTAGTAAGAATATACTAGTAAGAATACAAACCACTGTTCCATCCCCCAAGTCCCTGGCAGGAGAGAAAACCATGGAAAGCAGGAGAGGACTGATTTTCTAGGAGCTCAAAAAAGAAGGCCAGAGAAGCCTCTGAGAAATGGCTGCTTCTCAGCCAGGGAGCACCCACAGGCTTCAGACTGCAAGCTCCCCACAGGCTTGGGAGAGGACATCCCTCCTGTCCACGCTTTCTCCCAGAGCAGCACCCACAGACCTCCCTGCTCAGCCCTTGCTCTGCTGCTGCTAGAAGGTAGCCCTTCTAGGTAGTCCCTCATAGAGAGATTTATCGGAGCAGTGACAGTCCTCTCTTCCAATGTCACAATGAACACTAGATTAAGAACCGAAGCAGCCCTAACCAGTTTGGCTCAGTGGATAGAGTGTCAGCCTGTGGACTAAAAGGTCCCAGGTTTGATTCTGGTCAAGGGCATGTGCCTTGGTGAGAGGCATATCCCAGTGGGAGGTGTGCAAGAGGCAGCTGATTGATGTTTCTCTCTCATCGATGTTTCTAACTCTCTATCCCTCTCCCTTCCTCTCTGTAAAAAAATTAAATATATATTAAAAAAAAAAAAGAACAGAAGTAAACTCTCACCTCCTCTCCTCCTGATACTATACTTTTTGTAATATAACCAAAGGGTACATAAATGTCAGTGACTGTAACACCCTGTTGTCTTGTAATGGTTCTGAGAATCAAGGGCATAGTGGAGAGAACACTAGACAGGCTCAGGGTTCCAATTCTCTCCGCAATATATTTTCTCTGGTCCTGATCTCACCAGCTATAAGACAAGGAGCTGGGGTAGATTCAATCTGTTGACTCTTGGGCCTTGTGATAGATTAAATCATTTTCCAGCAAATAGTTGTCCCCCTGTCTTCTTCCTTGAGGTGGAGAATATCTGACAGGTGACTTGCTTTGGCTAATGGATGTAATCAAATATAATACAAACAGAGGCCACAGATAGACTGGTGTGATATGATTTGTCCTTTATCCCTTCCGTGACTTGCCATGAGAACTTCCACAGGAGAACTGCTGTCCCTGCAGCCTGAACCCAAAATGTACCCATATAGACCAGACTTGAGCCTGGCCTGGATCCTGGAGACAAACCCATTCAACCCACAGCCCTAAGGAGAACTTCCCCCACTGACCAGCAAACTTAGGTGCAATAATAACAAATGCTTGTTGTGGTAAGCCAATGAGTTTGGGGGCTGTTTATTACACAGCATTATTATGGCAGTGAGTGACTGATACAGAGTTCCTTTAAAGAACTCTCTGGTAGTGTGGATGAAGGATGGGCTGGCAGACATGGGAACTTTATCTTCAAGCCTGATGTATCACCTCTGAAAAGGAAATTCAGCTCACCCCAGGGTAAGGCAGAGTTACCCCTAGGATTGGAAAAAATCTGCTCTTCGTGCTGTTTCTTGGCCCTGACTTATCCAACAGTGGGAAACAAGGTGGTACTGGTGAGGAAAATGTCTTCTCCATATCCTCTGGAATTCTGTATCATTTGGATTTGCAACATGTCCAGTCCTGTGCTAGGGTTTTTTGAACACCATATCGCAAAATCCAGAATCTCAGGGAGGAGGTTTCACAGTCATCAGGTGGTGAAGTTGAGATGTGCATGCATTTATCTCAGACACCAAAGCCCAGGCTTTTTCTAGCAATTACACAAAAAAGATGCTCCCTAAGAATTTAGACCTCCAAACACTGACTGGTGGATAACTGTTTCTGAGCATCATATGGCTGCTGAGAAACCATTGTTCCTTATCACAAAGTCCTCATCTTGCCCCGGAGGCCTCAGGAGAGGTTTCCTCACACCACAGGGAGGCTCTGAGATGACACGAGGGCCCTTTCAGTCTTGAGCCCTGCACTCCGCACCCTGGGGGAGCTTAGCTGCGCTGAGAATTTTCCCCACCTGGTTTGCTTTGTCTCCATGCCTCTAATTCCTCCCCCACAGGGAACCTTTTAGGTGAAAAGCTTATGTAACAAGTGCTGTGAAATTGGCAGCAGCTGAGCCAGCCTTGAAGACCTCCAGAAGCTATTATGCTGTCAGAAGAGAGGGTACTAATTTACTCTCTCTGAGTTGGGAAGACCTGCTAGCAAACAACTTGGAAAAGGAAATAAAACAAGCCTTCCTATTTGGCGATGTCACTTAGGGGACTGAGTTTCCTCAGCTGATGGGAGGAAGAGAAACCTGCCTGTTGGGTGGGGAAACAAAAGGGATGATGAGCGACCAGCATATTCACCCACGTGTTCAGTGGGGAAGAAAGTTGCCCCTGCCTGAGTCTAGACACAGCCTGACAACCAGGCAGTCTTGGCCAAATCTGCGCCAGCTGCTGTAGTTGGGAAAAAATTGGTCATGCCTGGTAATGAGGAATAGAAAGACCCAGTTCAAAGTCACATTCAATTACTGACAATGTGAACACAAGTGACTTACTCTCGGGCCTCAGTTTCCTCATCTGCATAATGCTGTGGCCCTTCCATGCTTCCTTACATGTCAGCCAGACCTATGCTATGCTTGCTTGAGGGATGATGACACAAAAGAAGAGCCAGCCCATGTCCCCATGAGCTGACAGCCTAGCTGGAGGTGATTGTCAGTGACCAAGTTATTTCCTCAGTGCCCAGCACAGAGGGCCAGTGCTGAATGCTGGCTGCTGGAGTGCTGATAAGTGTATGCAGATAGCATCCCTCTCCGATTCCCAAGGGGGTCACACTCAACCTGGACTTGAGGTCTGCTGTGCTGCTCTCCCTGTCCCACGGCCTTTCCCTTCCTGCCCATGGTTACCACGTTGTGTTGTGGCTCATGAGTGCTTTACCTCTCACCATCCTTCAGACCTACCTCCCTGACAACGAGGTAGAAAGGATCTTATGGACAACCTTCTACCTCTCCAGTATGCCTCTGTCCAGCCATACCTAATTGCCTGTCTACCCAAAGGCCCACAGGAACAGTACAACTTGCTGCCTAATTGTGCATTGGATTCCACAGCAGCTTTTCTTTTCTGCATGTTGGACCTTTCACTTCCTGAGATTCTCCAAGTTACAAACTATAGATGTGGGGTATGCCATTGCTGTCTGTATCTGTATCCTGGTGTCTCACACTTGATAGACACACAATACTGACTGAACAAATGGGTTAATAATGTTATCATGAAGCCAGCTTTCCGAGAGGATGCCATCCCCTGACCAGCAAGGAGGGGAGAGAGGCTAGACATTCAATTTTATCACTAATGGCCAATGATTTAATCAATCATGCCTATGTAATGAAGCCTCACACACCTGCACACAACACCAAATGGGTCGGATTTAGAGAGCTTCCAGATTGGTGAACAGACGGAGATTTGGGGAGAGTGGCACTGGGAGGGCATGGCAGCTCCATCCCCTCCCTCCCTCCCCCATGCATCTCTTCTACTTGGCTGTTCCTGAGTTAACACCCTTTTTATAAGAAACCAGTAATCTAGTGAGTACAATGTTTCCCAGAATTCTGTGAGCCATTCTAGCAAATACATTAAACCCAACTAGGGGGTCATTGCCAATCTATAGCCAGTCAGTCAGAAGCACAGATGACAACCTGGACTTGCAGTCTGAAGGAGGAAGGGCAGTCTTGTTGGACTCAGTCCTTAACTTGTGGAACTTGATGTGATCTCTGACACTGTCTACAGTGTCAGAATAGAGTTGAATTGAAGGACACCCAGCTGGTTCTAAGAATTGCTTGGTGTGTGTGTGTGTGTGTGTGTGTGTGTGTGTGTGTGTGTGTGTGAAATCATACACTGGAATTTTATTCCTAGTTTCAGAATGGTTTCCTCTTAAAAAATATTTAACTCTTTAATCAGTCTGAAACTTATTATGGTGCATATATGAGACAAAGTATGAGTATCTATCTTCATTAACCCCTCCAATACTTCTGCTTTCTCAGAATCATTTGCTGAAAAATCCTTCCTTTCTCAAATAACCTGTGATCAGAGGTGGCTTCATTGCCATTATTCCCTGAGTTTATGCCGGAATAAGGAGCTCTTGGTTTCTAAGAAAGAGATGTGCTATCCAGCCATCCCGAAATATTCACCTACTGTGACCAGCACTAAGTTCAGGAGTGCAGGGATTCAGCAAACAGACCATGGGCCTAGACTTAGAGACCAGGATGAAAATGTCTTCTCCATCATGCACTGCTGGGTGACTGTGGCAAGTCCTTGCCCCTCTGTAAGTCTCAGCAATGTGGCAGAACAGACAGCCACAGTCAGACAGCCTCTCTCACCCCCCCATAAATCCCTCTCCTTGTGCTGGATGTGGGCAGCGGCAGAAAGCCTGGGAGGGCCCTGTCTGTTCCCTACTGTCAAATGAGAAGTGGCAGGAGTAGGTTTTTGAAAAAATGGCAGAAGTACAAGACCCTTGGTGACAGAAGATCTGGGTTCAAATCCCAACTATGCCACTTACTAGCAATTTGACCTGGGACAAATCACTTATCTACCCTGGGAAAAGGGTGAGATGGAGGCCTGGGTAAGATTCCAGAGTGGATTCCTTTGCATCCTAGAATGCACTCTGATCATATTTGTTATTTTCCCAGCTCCTCCATGGCCTACTCTTTGATCCTGGTGCACGGAGAGGCTGAGAAATAGCCCATCTGTCCGGCTCTGCATGGTAGGCTCTGCAAACATGAGCTAGCTAGGCTGAGTGGAGAGCTCTCAGGGTTTGGTGGAAAGCTGACAGGGCCCGGGGAATGCTTACCTGTAGCAGTTGTTGTTGTAATTGTTATAACTTCCCAGAGCAGTCAGACAGCCCAGACAGATGGCATAAGAGAAAAAGATCTGTGTTCCAGCATCTACCCAGACCTGTAGAAAGGCACAAAGAAGTTGGCACAGAGAGAAGTCGGCTCTGTTCTCTGAAATCCCCCATCCACACCCATCCTCCGATGAGCCTAGACAAAAGGACACCCAAACTTCCTAACCTTAGGAACATATTTTTTAGAAGCTCTATTCTTGGGGACCTCTTGATTAAGTTTACATTTCTTTAATTGATCCCAGGATTTTTCAGAGATTATGGATAATAGTTCTCTAAATATTAAGAACTTGGATGTTTAGATCCCAACTCTGAAACCTTTCTGAGACATAGTCTCCTCATCTGCAAAGTAAGGAGTGAACTTCCCCTGCAGGCGTGTTGAGAGGATTCACACGGCATGGAGTGTACGCTCCTGGGACTTGGAACATGCTCATTGGCATGTTTAAAACGAGATGAGTGATTTTTTGCGTTTGTGATTAAGACTACCAGGAGAAGACTGTTCTAGAATTCTGTTTAGGGTTTCCTATTGACATAGCTGGCCCGAGCATAAAAAGTGGCAAAGGGACAGCAAGAGAAGGGGAGAGCCCCCCAAATCTTTATCACCTTTCAAACGACATGCATTTCAGGCTTCTTATGTGCAAAGCCCTGTTCTTAGATGGCACTTGATTCTAAAGCATCTAAGAACAGGGCTTTGCACCAAATACAAACACTAGCAAATGTTTATCAAACACAACGTGCCCAGCACCAGTGCTGAGTCCTATGTCATTACTGTACTTGAATATTCACGGTAACCCTACACAGACGTGTTTTTATTAGCCCCTTTTTATAGCTGAGGAAACTCCAAAACAGAGAGGTTGAGTAACTTGCTCAAGACCACACAGCTGGGAGTGGAAGACATAAGCTCATGGAGACCCACCTTAGAGAAGCATGCTTAAACCAACCCCACAATTTCAGACATCTTCAGGTGTGACCTCTCAACACAAAACTCTCTTCTGAGCACTTCTGACAGAACAGTTTCTACTTGATTACTGCCAGTGACAGGGAGTGCTCTCTCCTGATGCAGCCCAGCCCCTTTCTTCCTCAGAGCATTCTAACCATTAGAGTATTTCTTAAAACGAGAGCAAATCTCTCTTCTTGTGTTCCTAGCCCTGGAGCCACCAAGACCACATCTCTCTCTTCCATGTGGCAACACTTTCAAGATCTGAAGAAAACGCCTGTGCCTACTGGACCCCAAAACTCTCCGCTTTCCAGGCAAAATGGTTCTATTTCCTCTTCCTTGGGGATTTGATTACATAGTACAGGACACTCTTCCCTGGATTTGTTGATTTCACTAAATCATTCAACAAATAGCTATTAAAACTAAAGATCATGACATTGCCTCTCAACCTAAGAAATGAATACGTTCCCCCCTCTAACACAGGGTCATTGGGTTTAGTGTCTTAGCGCTAAACAAGGAACTTAGGGAGAGTTCTTTCATTAAGTGTGTGTATTGGAGGGATGGGGGAATGCCAGTAGCTCAGAGTGGGTTGAAATATGAGGAGGAAATGAAAGTGGGAATGTAAAAGAACTTTCTTAAGAAATCTTGCTTTAAAGGGGAGATGAGAGATGAAGTAGTAGTGAAAAGGTTGGTAAAATTTAGGGAGGATTTATTTTAAATGGTGGAAACTTAAGGATGCTTAAATGTTGACAGGAAGGGTCCAGTGCAGGAAAAGTGTTTACGAATTTAGGAGAGAAACTGATATGTTTTAAAGTCACACTGTTGTTTCCCCATTTGCCCCCTCATTGGATTCCTTTTTATCCAAATCACCTGTGTTGAGTATCAAATCCCCAAGAGAGAGAAAATACATATAATTTGCCTGGAAAAAAAGAAGAATTTCAAGGTCCAGGGGTCTGGTGCTTTCTTCAAATCTCAAAGGCCTCGGAAAAACAAAACACAGCACAGCTGCTGACTCAGGAAACAGCTCCCAGGAGAGGCCTGCAGGGATGCTCAGTGCACAAAGTCTCACACTTGTTTTTAATGCCTCCTCCCGGGCCAGTGAGAGAAGCCCCCAGCCGTGTGGGAAAGCTGGTTTCTCCATCGAAGCTGGGCCCCATACCCAGTGGTCCCCTAACCCCCCACCAACATGGTAAATAAACTCTCTGAGTTTGAAAATACCAAAGAGAGCTTTCCATCCACATGTCTCAAAGATGAGCCCCCAAACCATGATTCTTCACTTGCAGAGATTTTTCTTGTAGTTTGTTCACTGAGCATGTCAACATTAACCCATCTGTCTGTTGTTATTGCCCACACACAATCCAGCTTCCCTTTCCAGATAACAGCACCCCGATTTTCCTTTAGGAAACCACCTCTCCCCCTCTCAGTGATAGCGTCAGGAATTGTCACGTGACCCAATGCCTGACCAATCAAAGCATTTGTCTTGGCCACAATGACTTGATCAGGGATGAGCTCATGACACAGACCAAGCCAATGAAACTCAATCTGGGACTTTCAGTGAAACCAAGTGGATAGGATACATGCTTGACCACAAGAGAAGATCCTGACTGAGAAGGAAGCCAACACGGAGGAAAGCAGAGTCTAGAGCAAAGAAAAACTGATATGGGTGATGCGATTTGAGTCAAGGCCCAGGGGGCACTGGTTCTTTCTAGGTCCAGCCATATCTGAAATAAGACCTACCCTATCTCTCTCTGAAATAAGACCTACCCTAGAACATTTCAACTTCAGAGCCATTTTTCTTAAGTCAATTTGAATGGGATGGCTGTCACTTCAAATTGAAAGAATTCGGACAAATAGCAACATTAAAGCTCTTAGAAAAGCCTAGAGGCTATAAGCCCAAATCCTTCAACCAATCCTGAATTGCTGATGAACCACCATTTATTAAATGCTTTCTGTGTGCAGAATCCTGTGCCAGACTCTTAAAAAGGTACTGTGCCGTTATATATAGCACTCCATCTCTGTCTGCGGGTCAGATAAGATAACAAGGTACCTAATGCCTAGGAGGGATAGATGAGGGGGAAGATTAGCATGTTCTAATCAGAGAAGGCTTTCTGGAGGAGGCACACCTTCAAAGACTGGAGAAGCAATGAGAGGGGTCATGATGGGTCTAGAGGTTCATGTGAGAGGGGAATGTGTTCTTGAATGATTTTTTCACTCTTGCTCCCCTTCTTCTGTAGGAAATAGCCTGCCATGATTATTTTGATGGTTACCATTAAGTCAACACCTTCATATAATACCCTTAGCCTTCCCTCTTTTTGGCAATGTCTGTTGGTTTCCTACCATGAGGAATATTGAAATTAGCCAGCAGCCTCAAATTTTCCTCTTTCCCTTTCCTCTAGCATCTAATGTGGGGGAGAGGGGGGAATCAATTTTTTCCAGTTAACACTTAAAGGCAATCTATGAATTTATTCTACTTTTCATATACACACTCGATTCTCTCCTAATTTTTAACATTTGCACTGTATCTGCATCAACAGAACATACAACCATTAACTATTATCTCCCTCATAGCCATTAATTAGTGTGAGTTCTATAGGTGACTATAAATTTAATGTCCACTCCTTTATGTTTATACTTCTCTAGTCAGTTTGGTTGCCTGCATCTTGCTTTCTAGTAAATTTCTCTGGTAAGGCTCATAGGAAATAATATATCCCTGGTTCCTGCACGTTCTTAATAGTTGACTGTATATAAAAATCCTTGGTTCTCCTTTTCTTTTCCTGAGAATCTTGAACATGTTGCTTAGTTGTCTTCTGGCACAGAGTGCTGCTGTAGAAAAGTCTGAGGCAACTCTAATTTTTTCCCCCTTATAAAGCACTTACTCTTTTTGTCTGAATGACCAATAGTTTTCCACTTTCTTTAAAGTCCAATAATTTTATTAGAGCATGTCTTATGTTGACTATTCTGGGTTCATTTTCCCAGCTATGTGGTATACTTCTTCAAGATGCAAATTCAACTCTCTCATATTTTAGGGGGTGAAAGGTGTTCTTTTCCATTGCTTTTGATTTCTTCTTTAGCGACTTGTTTGTATGTTGGATCTTCTTTGCTTGTCTTCTATACTTATCACTTTTTCTGCTTACCCACACAGCGTTTAAAAAAATAATAAAGCTCTTTCTGTATTTCTGACTTTATTTTTTGCCTCTCCATTTTCTATTTTCCTTATAATATTATCCATGGTGTTCATTTACTCTTTTATTCCTTTTACTTTGTCCTCCTGAAATATTTTTTCTTTCAGAAGCCATCTTTTCAAATCTTCTTTTTGTCTAACAATTTCACTTTTGCTGTTGTTTCAAAGCATCAGTTGATTTAATTTCTTTTAGCTGTTTTTGAAATATTAAGCTTCAGGGTTCAGATGTTTTATGGGTCTGTCTTTGTAGAATGCATCAATTTCCTGTAGAAATGCTATTCTGCTCATTCCCCTCCTCCCCATTATAATAGCTTTCTATGGGATTTGATCACAGTCTTTTCTTATTGCTCATATGTAGGCAAGATGCACCTTTTTATACTCTTAGAAGGGAGTTTTGTGTAGAAGAATACTGTATCCCAGGATATAGTTTTTTAACTTCACAGTTCCAGGGCTATTATCTCTTCTGTTATTAATAAAAAGTCTTTAAAAATATGACTGTGCAGACAGTACTTCCTGAAATTGTCCTCTGTCCCCTTCCTCTACTCTTGTCCAAAATTTATTTTTGTTTCCTCTAATGTGTCTGTATTGATCAATCTGGAATCTGCTTCCAGTGGTTTCTCATCAATGTGTGGTTCTCTCTGGCCATGAAGCCTCAGCTGATGAGTCCCTAGAGTCCCAGGGCCCAGACCTCTTCCCAAACTTCCCATAGTCCTCCAACACTCACCTATGACTTGGAGCCTGCATATATCCCTCCTAGTTTTGGCTGGCATCCTCAGATAGCTCCACCAAGCTTCTACTCCCAGAGTCCTCTCCTCCTAGGGGTGAGTACACGTTAGAGATTTCGGGGTTTCCTGGATCTAATTCTTCTGAATTCCCTTTGCCTTTATCTTCATCTTCATCTCATCCCACAGAATTGATAACATGCAGATATTATT